GGACGAGCTTAATTACCACCCCCCCTTTCTCTCCGCACCACCCCCCTTTTCTCTTCCTACCACCCCACCTACATTTAGCCTAGCTCCGGCCGGTAATAACTTTGTTCCACTAATTAGGTTATCGCTTAGGCGATAGTAGTGTTAAATAACGGTCTTAATTCACCAATATAGCACCGGACCTCTTTTTCTACCGGACAAGCAGGCACCCTAACAGCGACCCAGGGCTCTATTTCCTTAGTCTCCGACAGTCAACTAGCCCTTAAAGATGGCCCTCTATCTACTCCTAAGGAGAAGGCTGTTTATAATGAAGGAGCTGGTGCAGCAGGAGGATCTTCGGGTGTAAGACCTTGGTATAATAGTGTATACAGCGTTCCTTTTAATCAGCAATTAAAAGTAGTCATCTAGGAGCTTTCCGCTTCTAGCTATAGTAAAGAGAGTGAATAGACTATTGCTGCATGTGTATATATCCTTTCTAATTCATATAGCCTTTCCAATTCGTGTATACATCCTTTCCAATTTGCATAAACAAGTAAATCTAATTAGTGGAACAAAGTTATTACCGGCCGGAGCTAGGCTAAATGTAGGGGGGGTGGTAGGAAGAGAAAAGGGGGGTGATGCGGAGAGAAATGGGGGGTGGTAATTAAGCTCGTCCTTAATCTAGGCACGTTTTAAGAAGAAAATCTGCAGAAAAGACACCTAGTACAATATAGAGGGGCGCTAGTACCTGTACACCCCCTTTTTAGTAGTTGTACACCCCCCTTTCTAGTAGTTGTACACCCCCTAAACCCCTGTCGTTTCACCGCCCTCTAATTGGCTCGGAGGCCCGGCTAGGGCCTCCGATTCGCTCGCTTAATTCGCTTACCAATTCTAAATGCTCACTCCAAATGCGGCGTGTACACAAGCAATCACCGCCTCTTCCTCCACCTCCACAATACACCTCCACAATACACTCACCATGGCCCTCCAGCCGCCACGGCTAGCGTACTACGCTACAGCGGAGGAAGCGCATATTGCTCTACAAACGCACACCTCATTGCAGGGCTACGGGTTGGCCAAATATCGTACCAAACCGGACAAGACTATAGCAAAGACGACCCGAAAAATATGGTATATGTGTACTTTTGCACGCCTTCACGTGCCTCAGAACCGTATACGTGAGACTGGAAGCAAGAGGACCGGCTGTACTATGAAAGGAACTCTCACCCGACAGCCCGAAGGCACATGGATGTGGGAAACAACAGAAGCCTCTCATTTTGGCCATGAAGCTATACTTAAAACAACAGCCTTGCCTGTACTACGTCGCCTTGAGCATACGGAGGAGGTAAGGAAGGTTATTCGCGATGACCTCTCCAGTGGTGGTGCACCTGCAGCGACGTATACAAAGCTGCTAAAGCAGGGGGTAAGTATTACAAAGGACGATATCAATAATGAGCGCAAATCATACAGGAAGGAACTCCTCAAAGGCCTCAGTCCCATCTAGGCACTACTCCACACGTTAGAAACGTATGGCAGCGATGGAGAGGCGGGCAAGTTCTTCTACAGCTATTCACTGGATGATAAAAACCGCGTTAATCACCTCTTCTTTGCACACCCACAGTCGATTGAGCTCCTCAAGTCTAACTACGACGTCACCCTCCTTGACTGTACATACAAGACTAACCGTTTTGGTATGCCGTTGCTGCATATAACGGGTATTACGTGCATAGGAACTAGCTTCGAGATTGCCTATTGTTTCATTCCGAGAGAGAAGGACCCGAACTACAACTGGGCAGCACAACAGCTTTACGAGCTCTTCCAAGCGTATTCGCTACGCCCACGCGTTTTCTGTACAGATAAAGAAGCCGCGTTAAAGAAGGCCCTAAGAGCTAAGTGGCCGGGTGTCCCGCAGCTGCTGTGTATATGGCATATCGACAAGAACTTCGTCACCAAGCTAGCTGAGGTCTACAAGGAGGCACATACGTACGAGGCAGGCAGCGCACCTCCTACACCTACAACAGATGAGGAGAGAGCTGCTGTACAGAAAAAGGAACAGGACAAAAAGAGTGAATTCCTTGGCCGCTGGAGCGCTCTAGTCAGGAAGGTCAATCAGGATGAGTTCGAGAGTGAGTGGAAGAAGCTACAGGAGGACTACAAGGAGAGGTGCCAGCTGATTAAGTATATGGATGATGAGTGGTGGCCGTGTAGGTGGCAGTGGGCGTACTGCTACACAAAGAGCACTCGACATTTTGGTACAGTGTAAGTGTTTGCTTGTGTCCTATTTCTCAATCATTCTTCAAGCTATGCTCTTGCCCTCTTCAGCGCTGCTTGTTCTACACGACTGCAAACCCCTTGTGAAGTTTGGGCTTCAAATTCGCAC